AATAACCAAATTCATCTATTCTTCTTAATTCTATGCCAACAAATCATTTTCTGTTCTAGTTCCAACGTCTGCTTGTACTGCGTTTTTTTTCTTCGCTAAATTATGTCCGTGATCTTTTCCAAATGAATTTCCTTTTTCTATTTTGCTATTGGCGTTTTTTCGGCGACCATTTAAAAACAAGAGCTGTCAAAATGACAGTAAACCGGATTCTTTAACATTTATTTGTGTTCTGGCATTAATCAATATCACAAGGACCAAAACTCCTAATAGGTAAAATTTATGATCATCAATATCAAACTTGACTTCCATGTTGTCAACAATAACAACATATAAACTAGATAGAAAATGACCCTCTAGCAGGACAAACTGTGTGCCCTTAATGCATAAAGTAAAAAAAAATTACTAAGTCCACCTACCTAGGATTTTGAAAATATCTAAAAAAAAAATGAATGAATTGTATGGTTTTTAAATGGAAAGGCAAAAATCAAGCTTGACCTGTTTGACCATCTAGTTATCATAAGTGACATCATTTTGAAATATTAGAGAGCATATAAGTACACACACGTTTGTTCAGCAGGGGTGGGTAGGCAGAAATCATGAAGTCAAACAAGGAAGAGATACGTTTATGAGACTTAAACCTTATAAAATATGAAAACATAGTATCTTGTGGTCACTCCAATAACTTTCTAGGCTCCCACTTTCAAACTGTTGTTGTCTTGTAATATAGGCATGGTCAATGGAAGAATGATTGTCTGTGGTTTCATCGATATGAGCTTGGCCTAAATTAAGTGCATGCATAGTACTCTGAAGTTTTTTCAACTGCGTAGTTTGTTTGAATTGGTCAATATTGATATCTCCAAGAAGAACTGTGTAATGATTGGGTGTCACAACAGAATGTATTGTATCACAAATGCTGTCCACATTGGTTGATGGATGACAGTATATTGATGTCAGACAATAGTGTTTTTCAGATAATGACACTATCAACTGTATTCCCTCTATCCCTTCTTCCTCAATGAATTCTATTGAATCAACCTGTAGTCCTTCTTTTACATATGCAAAGATGCCACAATGAGGTCTGTGTAAATGTATTGCGTGTGGGTAAAAGTCAATGAGATTAAAACCATTCAACATATAATGATCTAATGAATCTGACTTTTTAGCCCAAGTTTCTTGTATAAATATTACATCATTCTGATATATACGATCATCATTTCTATAGTCGTCTATGTATTTGTGTAATGATCTTGCATTATGGCATAAGATAGCAAGTTTTGGCTTTGCAAGTGGCAATTGACTGTAAACAATCTGTTTCTCATTTCTAAGTCGGGATATCTCAGTTTTGACATTCTTGTCAATTGTGATCTTGTCCTTGTTGAAGTCGAGAAGATGGAGACCCTGTAGTGAGGTAACTCGACTTAATGCCACATATACCATGTGACTTTGGATGCGTCCTTTGAAGGAAACAGCAGCATTAGAAAGTGAAATTCCTTGACATTTGTGTACTGTTGATGCTGCAGCTGGTTTCAATGGGAACTGTTTGCGAACGATTTGAACATTTTTGTATTTTCCTACTTGAAATTGTCTGGTTATGAAATGTATTGGTGTCCAATTAGGACTAATTGTTCCTTTGTATAGTGATTTGCTTTTTTTCCTTTGTGTCGCACCAATGTCTTTGTCCAGAAAAACAACCCACAAAAGTATCGGTTTATTGTTTGATATGTCAATATGCACAAGTTGGCAGGAAGCTCCATTGGTTAGACCATCTTTTATATCTACATTTTGAATCATCATGTAGTTTGCAGAAACTTTCAAAGGTAATTCTGAGAGCAAGTTTTGAGTTTTTTGTGGTGGAAGAGTCTTAGATATGTTTAATATAGAGTCTCTGACATTTGTTGTTACATCTCCAATTACATTATCAGAGGCCTGAGCAACATATAAATGACCCTCTATCTTTGATAATGATTATACATTGTGCTCATCAACAAGTGCATTAGAACTGAACAGATGTATGTAATTGTCTTTATTAGATTCCCTAGGTGATGAAACAAGTCTTGTGGATAATGTGAGAATGTCATTTTCTGTTTGTATCCCTTCTCGGACTCTATTGAGTATATGTGCAAATTGAGCATCATCTCTCTGACGCATAACAGTCTTCAGTTCATAAAATGTAACCAAATCTTGCCAAAAATTAGTTGCTAGTTGTCCATAATCTGCTGTTGACAATGAAAAAATCCACTGATCTAGAACAGGGCGTAACTGAAAAAGATCACCAACTAAAAGCAGTGATATACCACCAAAGGGCTCTTTTGATCCAAAGATATCTTGGAGTCGGTTACTTAGGAAATTAAACATTTGAATGCCAACCATGGACACCTCATCTATAATAAGGACTTTTAACTTAGCAAAATGACATCTCAGAGTGTTCAAAGTGCTGTGGTCTAATGGTATATAAGTTTTCAAAGACTGGCTAGCAGGAATGTGGAAAATCGAATGCAGCGTATTACCTTTAATGTTGTATGCAGCTTTGCCTGTTGGCGCTCCTATAACTACCTTTATCTCATCTGGATTTTCACCTGCAGTGTCAAAATATCGCAATAAGGCTTGATAAATAGCTTTCAACACATGACTTTTACCCACCCCTGCTCCGCCGGATAAGAAAACATAATAGGGTTCATCATTTGTTTTAGTTGTATTCAGAATGTAGTAAAAGAAACATTTTTGCTCTGGATTTAAAGAACGAACTAGTTCCAAATATTCTTGGTCTGATAGCTTATTTGCTATAACAATTTCAGTGGCTTTTTTTGCACTATTAGAGCACCCAATATCTTGTCCTATGTCATAATGTGTACAGGAACTATCTGCAGGCTGGAGTATAGATTTCCATGTCTTGTCTGAGCTGTTCTGAATCATCCTCTGTTTGTCTTGCATTTGGAGCAATATCATCTATTTCATCATTGACTATCTGTTGGTTGGCATCTTCGAAAATTTCTTCAATGCTTTCATCTGAGGTAAAGGCGTCAAACATTGCCTTAAATGAAATAATGTGAGCTTCGTGTATTTTAAACTCATCTTAATAAGTGGTACTTTGTCCTTTGAGAGCATTTTCCTCTCTCCATGGAAAAAAGAGCATTAATTGCTCTCGATAGTATAACTCTGGATCTTTTTTAAGACTATATCTCACTGAACGTATTACCTTTGGGACCCTTCTCTTGACCAGCCAACTTCCATCAGGCAAATGAATTTTCATACCTGCAACTATCTCCTCCACATTATTGTCTACTCCATCTATTTGATCAACTGTGTCAGAGATACCTTTTTTCCTGTCAACTTGTTTTTCAAAAGAAGATGCAAATTGTGACAATATAATATTTTCCATCGAAGGTGGACGTTCTGAGTACCTATCAAGGAGTCAAGCACAAATTACTTCTGTAGATTCATCAGGGAGTGTTTTGAGCACAGATGCTGGCTTCAAAATACCAATACGCTTCTCTGGTGTAGAGGTGTTAATGAAAATGACATCTCTAGAACTCTGTGTCAAAGGAAGTTGGAGCAGCAGATATATTGCTTCTTGTGCAGAAACTTCACAGTGATTCAAGAACTTGTTAGAAATAACTCTCATTTTCTCCCTTACACTGAAGTTTCCTCTTTTCACTTCATCCACTGCATTTTGCAAAAGCATACTCATACCTCTTTGAGATTTCATAATATAGCTAGCTATATATATGCACACAGCATACGGGTCAATAACAAACTGGAGATCTGTGTTTGCTTGCCATATTCTTAATACTTGAAGATTGTAAGAGTTAATTCTGACATCATTCACAGCTCTCTTCAAGAACACCTTTTTCTTTGACAATGATGAACGAATAGCATCTATATACTGTTGGTTATTTAATTTACATTTAGTAAGGAAAGTTTGAAAGGTCATATCCTCATCACCTGTCAGGGTTTCTAATACTAAACTAATTTTTTTGTAATTGCCCTTATGCTTGAGAATTTCTGTTTTTGAATGATCTGCAGGAAATGGTTCTAAAATCAAGGTTTCTGCCATGGGAGGAATAGGAAATCCAAAGCGACATACACGCTTGCCTTTCTTTTTGCATGATTTGGAATGTCGATGTTTTTGCAATTTTACAAACTGTTGATCTTCTTCTGAGACATTAGAACTAGAAGTTATGTGTGCGTCTATAAATTCAAGGATATCACTCATTTGGCTAGATCCATATATTGGTGAATTTTTAATCCAAAACAAGCAATGCAAGTGTGGAGAGCCTCGCTGTTGAAACTACACTCTTATGTAATAGTCCTGTAATTCTCCTAATGGGGAGTTTTTACATTTCAAAATATTGTTTAGAAATATCTGAGTTCTATAGTGAAAGTGTCTGGCACATGTTGTTGGGTGCTTTTGAATCAATTCACATCTCTGCATCCAATTCATTGCAATAGTTTCTTCCACAGAAATGTTCCGTTTATATTCTTTCTTAGCTAAGATACATAGTAAGTCTAACCATTGAGTCTCAGCTGCTGAAAAAGTAGCAAAGAAAGTTGGCAGGCCTAGCTGTCTCAATATTGCAAATAATTCCTTCTGCTTGTTTTGATAATAAGGTGGTGATAACCTTAGAGTCTTTAAAAATGTAAATCCCTGGTCATTTTGAAGTAAACTGTTTATATTTTCAGATGATTTCAATTGTCCAGCTGTATATGAATTATTGTTAGTTTTACGTAAAGCAGTAGTTTTAATGTCTTTGACTTGTAATGTTTGAAGTTTCTTAAGTTTAAAGAAAATATTGGGTACAGATGTTGAAAATCTAGTGTCTGCACTCCTCAACTCTGCCTTGCAGATTGTGCTGAAAGTTACTGGAATTGTTCTCTGATGATTTTCAATTTTTTTTTGTCCAGCAAATAGCACAGGGAATGACTTTTCCTCTGCATATTTGTCAAGGAATAAGCTTAGAGGATGGTTTTTTCACCAGGTGCAATTTGTAAGGCATGCCTACCATCATCTGTAAAGTCTAAATCTTGTAGTAAAGTGTCCTTGTTCCCTGAACCTGACACTTCTTCATCAGATTGTTCTACCCAGTTATCATCATTTTCATCTGAGATCAATTTATTCTTTTCTTGGTTCTGTTTACTGTGTGGTAAATTATTGCCTTGTGCTCTTTGATTTTTTGCAGACTGCATTTGCACTAATTTTTCATGGCTTTCGATCACTTCAATGTCAGTTTCTGATGCAAAGTTGATGATATTTGTATTTTCTGATGTCCAAGAGGTATCCAATTGTATTGCTTCCTCTTGATATAATGGACTATTTCCAATGAAATATTTAACTAATTCATAAATAACTTTTGGTCTCACAGTTTCATGGAGGATGGAGGATTTGTACTCAAGTTTTCTTTTAAATAACAGATGAATAGTAGCAGTGTCTTCAAATCTTCTAGGAAGCACAGATATAACATCAACGGATCCATTGGTACATTAACTGTATTGCCATATATCCCAAACTGCTTTCCTACTCCAAGTTATTTCAGTTGCATGAACGGTATGCGCAATGCTACAGTTCTCTCCTCAGTTTGAGTTGGAGACAAGTGATGTAAGTAGTCTGGTAAAGTGTTGTACTTAAATCCATTGTTGTAGGCCGTGGGTGGCATTTTTTTTTCCATTATATATTTATGGCATGTTTTGCACACCCATTCACTTTCTGAAACACTTTTAGTTCCTGTAAGAGTTTGATCCAATATTTCTTGTGGAATTCCTTTCTGCATATAATGTTCTTTAGAACAGGCATAAACACTATGCTGGTAAAATGTTTGCATACAACATGAGCAAATGAAATCATCACTTCTTTTGAGCAAATCTCTAAATATTTGAATTTGGATTTCAATGTCACTTTTCTTTTTTATCCTTGAATGTCTGTTGAGATGTGTTTCTTTTTTGTTCCTGTTATAGGTATGTCGCCATTTTTGTCTACTTGTTTTTTCCTTATCTCTAACTTCAGGTATACCTCGTCTATTTTGACGAGTTTTTCTTCTTTTAGCATTACCCTGATCTCTAACTTCAGGTAAACTGCGTCGTTTTTGACGTGTTATATTACTCCTAGCACTTTCTTGTTCTTTAACTTCAGGTATACTGCGTCGTTTTTGACGTGTTATATTACTCCTAGCACTTTCTTGTTCTTTAACTTCAGGTATACTGCGTCGTTTTTGACGTGTTATATTACTCCTAGCACTTTCTTGTTCTTTAACTTCAGGTATACTGCGTCGTTTTTGACGTGTTATATTACTCCTAGCACTTTCTTGTTCTCTAACTTCAGGTATACTGCGTCTATCTTTACGAGTGTTTTGTCTTTTAGCATTACCCTGATCTCTAACTTCAGGTATTTTGCGTCGTATTTGACGAGTTATATTTCTCCTCACACTTTCTTGTTCTCTAACTTCATTCATGCTTTGTCTATGTGAACGAGTTTCATTCCTTCTAGCTTTTTCCTGATCCTTAACCTCAGTCATGCTTCGTCTATGTGAACGAGTTTCATTCCTTCTTGCATTTTCCTGATCCTTAACCTCAGGTATGTTTCGTCGTTCTTTGCGAGTTAAATTCCTCTTCGCATTTTCTGTCTGTCTATTCTGAGGACACTGCCTTTTTTTTCGTCTAGATAAATTGTTTAGTTCTTGTTGTGTAAGTCCTTGAAGAGAGGCATTTAGATTTTTAGAATGTTTTGGACTGTATAAACTTTTCTTATGGATATTTCTCATGTCTTGATCATTTAAATATTCACAGAACCAATTCAGTTCTTTGGTTCTAGCAGGTTCTGTAGGAATATCTGTAGCAGAAGTGGTCGCAAACAAATTAGTATCCTGAGTTTTTCTCTTTTTCTGAAAAGATAAACAAAAACTCTTGTGATTCATTTAGTTGAGGGAACTGTAATGATAGACAATATATAGTACAACATAATTTTGTATACCCCGTCTATTTTTTTCTTTTTTTTCTTGTCGCATTAATTCTTTTGTTCATTTGTTTTATTAGTTTTTCTCTCTTTTTTTACTGCAGTATCTTTTCTGTCTTTTTGCCAATAAAGGGACCAGAGTAACAGACTATTGGTCATATTGTATTATATATGTTTATCATTACAAATTGCCTACTTCATTTGCTTTAATATTATATCAATCAACTAAATCAAAATCAATCATATTATGTACTTTGTTTAACCTATTTTAATTTACTTTACATTATGTTTGAAAATTATATTGTAATTATTCTGCTCATTTTGGGCGCCGTGATTGGCAAATAAAATATTTGTTTGTTTGTTTGTTTGTATTTTTGCCACTGTAATTCCAGGTTTAAATTGTATATAAATTGTACTAACCTTTTGACTGTCAATTTTAGAAGTTGTTGGCTGTTGAATTTGTGAGTTGGGATTGGCCACAGTAAATAGTTGTTGAGATGCTGGTCTTGGAATGTCAGTATCCTGATTTTTTCTCTTTTTCTGAAGAGATAAACAAAACAATCTTGTGATTCATTTAGTTGAGGGAACTGTAATGATAGACAATATATAGTACAACATAATTTTGTATACCCCCTCTATTTTTTACTTTTTTTTTCTTGTCGCATTTATTCTTTTGTTCATTTGTTTTAATAGTTTCTCTCTCTTTATTTACTGCAGTATCTTTTCTGTCTTTTTGTCACTGTAAGTCCAGGTTTAAATTGTATATGAACTGTACTAACCTTTTGACTGTCAATTTTAGAAGTTGTTGGCTGTTGAATTTGTGAGTTGGGATTGGTCACAGTAAATAGTTGTTGAGATGCTGGTCTTGGAATGTCAGTATCCTGAATTTTTCTCTTTTTCTGAAAAGATAAACAAAAAACTCTTGTGATTCATTTAGTTGAGGGAACTGTAATGATAGACAATATATAGTACAACATAATTTTGTATACCCCGTCTATTTTTTTCTTTTTTTTCTTGTCGCATTTATTCTTTTGTTCTTTTGTTTTATTAGTTTTTCTCTCTTTTTTTACTGCAGTATCTTTTCTGTCTTTTTGCCACTGTAAGTCCTGGTTTAAATTGTATATGAACTGTACTAACCTTTTGACTGTCAATTTTAGAAGTTGTTGGCTGTTGAATTTGTGAGTTGGGATTGGCCACAGTAAATAGTTGTTGAGATGCTGGTCTTGGAATGTCTTTGGATTCCTCTGTACCTAGTTTCTGTGAAAAGTGAAGAAAAATATAGCCTAAGCCAGATACAATGTCACATGATTAAGTATTATTAGTGAAAAATAAGAGAAAAAAATAGCCTAATGCCAGATGCAATGTCACAAGAATAAGTATAATTAGTTTCTGTCAGTTTAAAGAGAGAGAATTTGATTTTGATAAACAATTTCTGAATTAATAAAATTGAGAATGGAAATGGGGAATGTGTCAAAGAGACAACAACCGGACTATAGAGCAGACAACAGCAGAAGGTCACCAACAGGTCTTCAATGCAGCGAGGAATTCTCGCACCCGGAGGCGTCCTTCAGCTGGCCCCTAAACAAATATATATATGCCCCTATACTATATATATAATACATACATGACGTTCAAGCCTCTTCCGTAGCTTGTCTTCCCTATTCTTCTGACTGGGTGATTTTTTGTTCTGCTTAGGCATTTTGATGTGTTTCAATGTTGCATATCTAAAAAAAAAAAAAATTTATTACTTAAATTATACATAAGACAGTGAAAATAAATACAATTTAAATGTTAAATAAAATTTCTGTCCAAACAGTATACAAGAAAAAAAGATAATGATGATTCATAAAAAACATCAGATTTACATATATATGCATATACAACAATTAAATTAGTACAAAAAGTTTGTGATAATCAATTATTGTGAGTCTGTATTGGATGGTGGTTGTGCAGCAGCTGAATTATTTAAATCATCCATGTCTTCATCAAACGACATTGCATGAAGAACTTCCTGGCTAGAATCAAGGTCTCTCTTCAACTTTTTGCATTCATCTTGTGCCTCATATTTTTGGTCACGTCTTGCCTGAGAATTTTTTTTCCTTAAACTTAGGTTTTCATTCCTCAAACCCTCAATTTTCTTTTGAGCCTCCTTTAACTCTTCATCAGTTTTAGTTAAATTGGTTTTAACTGAATCAGCATTATGATTTACATCGTCCATCAAAGTTGTGATTTCATCTGTCAAATCACTGACAGTATTCATATGCTCTTCTGAAACTTTCCCATTTTTCTTTACTTTGAAAAGCATGCCTACTATTTGCAGTGATATCCCTTTTGCTTTGGTGGCAGACTTTTTAATATTATTCACCCTTTCCATTATCTGAATAAAGAAAAATGAATTAAAGTAATTTTATTTGAGTGCAACAACCCTGCTGTGATAGGGCCATCGGGGGCATACAAATTGCCTTATATAACTATAAACTACAAGAACCCTGAATTGCTCACATGGGAAATCACTATAATCAGGTATTGTAATAATTAATATTTTCTTATTCAATGTCTTTTAAGTGCTATTATTACATGGTTTGATTCAGAACTTGGTTGAAATTGACAAATCAGTTTAGGAAAGGAGATATAAATGTGAAATATTAACAGATGGATGTATACAAATGAACAAACATAAAACAGAGTCAAAGTGATGAAAAAAGCTTATACTAGTGATTGGCTAGGTGAGCCAAAATAACCAGCATCTGATGCCATGAAAAACCAGCTCACTAGAGCCATTAAAGTGTGTGTAATTTGCAGACTAATCCCTTCAGTATCTGCATTTGTAGAGGAATATACATCTGTATAACTCCAGTTATTATGATCCACTGTATAAAAGAAATAAACCATTATATTTGTCCATTTGCAGCAGGAACAATCTACATCTGTCAAGCTAATGTAATCAACAGTGTTACATTTATTAAAATTCAGAACCAGAATTTAATATATTTTATAATGATTATGCCAAGTGCATGACAATACATGTATTGCAAACAAAATATGTGAAAGTGCTAAATGAGAAACAGTATACATGTTCATATGTTACAATAAAATTTAAAGTATGATGATGGTTGAAATAAAGCATGGTTGGATGATATAAGCTTGACAGGTGAAGTGATGTCATTCATTTCTAAACAGGTAAGAAATAAAAAAAAATGTTAAGACATATAAAGACATATAAAGCATGGTTAATTTGGCCAGTGATGCACATTCTAATAAAATAATACTATATATATAGCTATTTCTAACAAAGCTGAAGTAAAGTTAACAATTTTTTTTATTTTTTTATATATGAATGTGAAGGTGAATCAGTGTTACCAGCACCTTACCACGAGGAGGATCTAAATATGCAATACAATTAAAACTACATATTGAGACTTAACCATGCAATGTGATACCTGGCACATGTGATAGCATTGTATATAACATTTATGCATGCAAGTGTAAATTAAATAGTGAATAGTGACTATAGTTATTTATATATCTGATGAAATTTGAATATTAAGCAGGAAAGAAGGCAAAGTATCACATTCAGTAAAGCCTGAGATTTAATGTTTAAGGCCAAAATCCATCAGTCATGCAGAAATACACACAATTACCATTGAAGGAAATTTGTTTAAATCTCAAACTGTACAAGGTGCCACGATGGAGATTGCAAGCACAGTAAAAAGAAAATAAAAAAATAGTATTACCTTTATCAATCATAGAATGCTTCTAAAGGTAATGAATCCCATTTCTGTTGTATAATCTGCCAATAATACTCGGGTAACACAATTTTTCAATCTTTCAAGAACCGAAAGGTTTGGTTGAACGGTTCATGAGTAAATGCACGGACACGACAATTTTTAAACTTTCAAGAACCGTAACTCCTGAATGGTACAAGTCAAAATCGTGATTATTGAACTTGACCTCCATTTTGTTGTCAGTAACAACATGTTAAAATTTAAAAAGGTTTGGTTGAACAGTTCATGAGTAAATGCACGGACACGACATTTTTTTAAACTTTCAAGAACCGTAACTCCTGAACGGTAAAAGTCAAAATCGTGATTATTGAACTTGACCTCCATTTTGTTGTCAGTAACAACATATTAAAATTTAAAAAGGTTTGGTTGAACAGTTCATGAGTAAATGCACGGACACGACATTTTTTAAACTTTCAAGAACCGTAACTCCTGAACGGTAAAAGTCAAAATCGTCATTATTAAACTTGACCTCCATTTTGTTGTCAGTAACAACATATTAAAATTTTAAAAGGTTTGGTTGAATGGTTCATGAGTAAATGCACGGACAACATTTGGTTGCCGCCCGCCCGCCCGCCCGCCCGACCGACCGACCGACCGCCCGCCCGCCCGACCGACCGACCGCCCGCCGTACATCCCCAAATCAATAACCGACATTTTTGACACAAAAATCCGGTTAAAAATGGGTTTCTTTACGGAACTGCATTAATAGTGGTACAATTCCCCGTATTTTCACACATTATCCTGCGTTTCTATAATTTGAATTTCTAATTTAAAAACAAAATTTCATCGGGGAATAGCGTGCAACATACATCAGCATTTATTGCAAAAAAAAAAAAAATAAATAAAATAAAAAACTCAGTCTGTAATGCATAAGAACATATTTAGATAAATCGTACATAATGCTTCCTTATCAATAGAAACAGAACATTTAAATGTAAAGAATGAGAAAAAGAATGGAAGGAAGAGGACGAAGCAATCAATGTCAAATAAGTATTGCATCAAAGCTCTCGGCACTTTACATCCAAGTTACAATTAAAAATGTTTACCATGATAGATAAAAGGTTATTTTATTATTTTAATAGTTCGCGATAAAAGTACAGAATATATAATTCCTATATGTATGGTGTCGTCAACCGCCAGAAACACGACGGGGCTCAAGTAGGATATGCGATACTATAGTTATAGAGGCACTCAGTTAGACGGGTATCTATGAACGTTGTTTAATAACGCCAGGAACAATAACTCATAACGTAACGTCATTTGGTATCGTGCTAATTTGTCACGGATGCTTTTATGTCTTCTGAAGGCCGTGACTGGGGGTGAGAAAAATACTTGTTTTTCAAATTGGGATCATTCTCTATAATTTTCCAATGCTTTCGAACAATAAATGACACATTTTTAAAATCAGGATGATAAGTGAGTACAAGAGGTGTTCTGTTGACTCCTTTATTCTTATCCGTGTACTCCAGAAGGTCTTGGCGGCTAGTTTTGTTTGCTTTTTGGAAAGCTGTATCAATACTGTTGTTATTGTATCCTCGAACAACTAGATGTTTACGTAGTTGTCCAATTTTGTTTATTTTCAGTTGAGCATATTCTCTTGATTCGCAATGCCTGACTGAAAGGAATACCACGGAAGCAGTGTTTGGGATAGCAACTTTTTGGAGAGAGAAATTAATGGTTGTCTGTTTTCTTCCTATGGAGATTCGTTATCATGTTTCCCTTCTGGAGGTATCTCGTAGAATCAAGGAAGTTTATTTTCTTCATTGATGTTTCGTGTGTAAATAGAATGATGGAAAGAGTTACAGTGTTCTAAAAATTCATTCAGATGGTCTTGTGAACCTGTCCATTTAAAATCAATATCGTCAATAAATCGAAACCATGATAATAACTGGTATGGAGCTCTAGCCAAGAGGCGTTTTCAAGTTGGCCCATAAATATGTTGGCATATAATGGGGCCATTTCTGTGCCCATGCTCGTGCCGTCTATCTGTAGATAGTGTTTGTCATTGACAGAGAAGTTGTTGTTGTCCAGCACTAGTTTCAGACGTGTAACGAGGCGGTCAGTTGGAGGATTTTTGTCATTGCGATTGTTCCATACCTCTTCACACGCTGCTATTCTTTCATCTTGTGGAATATTGGTATATAAGAAGACACGTCCATGGATGTCAGAATAGTATTGTTTGGTAAAGGATTTAGGCTTTCCATTTTCTTTACAAAATCAGTCGTATCTTGAATGTAAGAGGGGAGTTCTTTAACATGAGGTCTTAAGTGATGGTCTACAAATTCAGATATCTTTTCAGTTGGGTGACTATTTGCTGAAACAATTGGTCGACCTGGATTGCCACTTTTGTGTATTTTAGGCAACATATAGAATCTTCCAGCCTTGGCTTCGTTCTAAAGAGGTCGGAAATAGTCAAAGGTGTCATTATCGATATGCTTTTGGTCGGACATCTCTTGAAGGGTGGTTTTGATCTTTTGAAAAGTATTTTGTGTTGGATCTGCGGTTAATTGCTTGTAAAAAGTGGAGTTCGGCAGTTGACGATTCCCCTCTTCTATGTAATCTGTTTTATTCATAATTTCTTTTTCTAGGGGCCTTAGGGTTTGTAGTATTGATATCATTAAGTACCTGTCTTTGTAAGAATCATGCAGGTTCCTGTTGATGGGCGATTCATGACCCCTCTTCAGATGTCTTTATATTTTGTTTATGAAGAAGGTATGGTATGAAAATAAGTTTCATATATTAATTTTTTTTCTATTGAACCTTGGTTGCCATGGAAACCATCCTTACAAAATTTTGCCAAAATACGTACAAAAGTAGCCTTTGAAAATTGAAATATAAGGGATTTTAAAGAACCATTGAAATAAAGTTAATCAATACACTTGTTTTCCAATCCATGTATTGTATTGATGTACGTATTTATTTATCTGTTTCTAAATAAAATATTGTTTACACTACAAACAATAAGTATATTTACAGTATTGACAAACAAAACCCCAAACTATACAAAAACGTTAAAATTTTGAATTTACGACATAGTTTGTTTCCATAGCAACCATTTAAAATGTGTTAAAATTCGAAAATGAAAATTTTAAAAACTCCTAAATTTTAAATCTGTTTATCTCCCAAGACCAACCATACAATTACATGTCAGTGACAAATTTTGAAAGACAACACTCTATTTATTCATAAAATAAAAAGAAAGTCGTGTTTTTTTTTTTTTTCTTTTAACAAATAATTTTAGTAAAAAATTGTCAATTTTCACCAAAATTCAGATTACCAAACAGATGAATAATCAAACATTTTGAACTTAAAAAGCTAAAATATTCCATTTGTATGTGCAATTCTGACACACATTTGTTAATTTTAAACTAGAATTTATGATTAATGAAGATATACTTGTACAAAACGAAAACTCATCGCTCTGGGTATGGTGCACCCCCACCTTTTTTTGGAAAAAAAAACATTTTTTTCAAAATTATAAAATTTGCTGACAAAAATGTGGAATCTTATTGTGTTTACT